CTGTATTTCTGTTGTGTAGGATAGTTGTAGCCTGGGTCCCCTTGCTGAGCCTTCAGGTCCCCTCTACACTGTTGCTGACAGTCATATGTCTTAAAGCATACAAACATCTTACAAATATACACTATTACAGAGACATGTCTTCCAAGACATATATCTAAGACATTCAATAGTACATAGTATATAATATATGAATCTACAGACAATGATGCTCATATAACATAACATTCAAACCACACAGTCAACCTGTATTAACACCTACACACTATGAGTAGAGTCTACTGAACCCTTACTTGTGTGACTTACTCTTAGGGAAACATTATAACCTTAAAACACTTACAATAATACATTCTAGTTATGAGTATTATAGCATGTCTTGTTATATAAAGTAATTGTAGTCTTTAAGACAAGACAATTTGCATTTAGTATGCTCAGACAGGAGCACTAAAGGTTTGTAAACAAGTAGAATAGATTGTACATACAGAATCAAATGGATTCAGTGTTAAATAGGGTAGTTTAATAATACTTATTGAGTATAATACAATCAAGTGTATCAAATCATTTGTACTATAGTGTATAGTACACTGAAGCATTCAAGATGATGATTATAGTACATATAATTATACATATAGTTACTGAGAGGGAAATTATAATTGCTAAGACAATGATTTTGAAGTGTTACATTTGTAGAGAGTAAGATAAAAGTGTAGTAACAATGTAGATATGAGTAGGGAGTACAAGGCTCATAACCTGTTAGCATTTTAAGGTTGTAAAGCTACTAAGAGTAAGTCACACAAGTAGGGGTTCAGTAGTGTCTACTTATAGTGTGTAGGTGTTAATACAAGTCAACTGTGTAGTTTGAATGTTATGTTGTATAAGCTTCATTGTCTGTAGATTCATGTATTATATATACTATCTAATATTGTATGTCTCAAATGTATGTCTCAGAAGACATGTCTCTATAATAGTATATATTTGTAAGATGTTTGTATGATTTAAGACATATAATGTATTTATCTAAAATAAATGTTAACAGAGTTCTCTTAGGTTGAGTATTTAACTCTTTGTATTAGAAATTAGTAAAATAAAAGATAAAATATTAAGAATAAAGAAAATCAAAGTATAAAAAATAGTTTTAAAGTAAGAAAAGAAAATAAAGTAAAAGTAATAAAAGGGAAAAGTAAAGAATTCTAACACAAAAGAGTCTCTTACTCTTTTAATATTCTTTATATATAGTTTATGTTTTTATAATAATTATTACTTAGTTATAATAGATAATTACTATTTTTTTAAATAACAAGTATATATTATTATTTTTTAAGTTTATATAAGTTTTTTACAAACTATTACTTAATTTTCTTATTCTATTTTACCTTTCTAAGTTTTATTTATTATCTTATATATTTATTGTTCTCTGTATTCCTTTTCTATACTTTTAAACACACTCTCTATTATAAATACTAATTGTTTTATATAGTAACATTATAGTTTAAAAAAACTTCTTATTTCCTTCTTATTTCTAGTCAAAAAATCTGTCCCTGGTAGCTTATAATATAGTTGGTCAAAGGGCTGCAAGACTTATTTACAGCTTGAGTGTACTATCAGTCTGGAACAATTGTTATCTTCTCTATTATATATATATAAGTTTTTATATTCAACTTTATCAAATACACACAAGTATATCAAAAGACATTTAGTTTAGTTAGAGAAAACTAATACAGAACAAACCACAAAACTACCCTACCAACACAAAAGACAAAAGACAAAAGACAAAAGACAAAAGTAAAGGAAATAGGTAAATAGGAAAAACAACCAGAGATAGGAGATACGCATGGCAGGGACCTTCTCGCCGAAAAAAAATCAGACCACATGACCGCTGCATCACGTGCATCACGTGCACTGACCAAAATTCCAGCGAGGGACACAAAAATTGGAAAACTTTCGGTGTTACACTAAAACTAAAAGACCAAAAATAAATGAGAGACTAGCAGAATGTAAGGAAAAAGCAAGCGAGCAAGAATAACGCAAACACGATGTATAGCGAGCAAACAAGAATATACGAGCGGCTAGACATAAAAAGAGTTGCATAGGAAGTAGGAAGTAGGTAGTAGGTAGTAGGTAGTAGTGTGGGCCGGGAAGGCAAGTTCGGCAACAAGTGTGAGCATCGCAGTAACGGCGTACGCCAATACGCGAAGCAGGATGAGAGTGTGGGAAGTTCCGAGGTAGGTGTTGAGGAAGGAAAGGACAGACAGACCAAGACAGACAAAGCGTTGCGTTGCGGACAAGAAACGAAATACAGAAAGCGCGAAAGGGACGACCAAGCAGGAATCACGAGATACGAGAACAAGGGGTGGGGAGCAGCACAGTGACACGAAAAACGAAAACTAAAACGGACAAGATGTTGTACACGGAGTTGAATTCCGAAAACAAGAACAAAGATGTGTAACTGGGGCTGAGAATCAGAATATCGGAATATCAGAAAAAAATACAATGTGCGAGCAAAGAATGGGGTGCGTGGATGGGGAGGAAACGATCATCAAAAAAGAACGAAAGGTGTTGTGATCGTCACCCAGAAGAAGTAGAGAAGGTGGTAAAAAAAACAAAGGGAAGGATTAATAAGTCGTCAAAATCTGAATGCCGGAAGGTTACCGAAGCTGCCCCAGGAGAATCATCAAAAAATGAACGAGAATGATACGAAGAATGTCCCCCTCTCCGTCATTCCTTCCCAGTCAAGCTACCCGCACTAAAAGCGACGTTGGAGCGGGACCCACGAGTCCCAATAAGGTAGCTGAGAAATGTTACGAAGGAAAGGAAGAACCATGAGAGTGAGAATCGAAGCACCACCCCAAAGAAGTAGCGGAATTGAAACGCATATGTTCGGCCCGAAGAGGCGCAAGGGCCAAATAGACGAATGGAAGGCATGTATGAACGCGGAAAGCACAGGTAAGGGGAAATGAGCGAGAAAAGCGGCGACAGCAAACAACAGTCGGGAACGGAAGTCCCGGGCATGGAGGAACAATATGTAAGTTTAAATTGGCGCACTAGACTCTAGGCATCCTCAGCAGCGACAGCCTGAGGGGCCTGAGCACTGGCTCTCATGGAAACGTGAGATTCTTCTTCCTCGATCTTTCCAACACCGTTGGACGGGACATTAGACATACCCTGCGGGGGCGCATAAGCATAAGTCGTAGGCCATCCCATTCCCCCATATGGTGTGTAATGGCCTGACTGATAGTATGCATAGTTTTGTTGGGCATCTCCTGATGAATAACTTGCATATGGTACTTGCGTTGGCGCGTGCCCAGGAGCGGTAACTCCACCACTAGCTTGCGGCGCTGGCGGGGGCGAACTTGTTGTAGTCACAGGCGCATTGCTCCCGGCACTTGACGGTTCGGCAGCCGTGGGAGATGCCGAAGGTAAGGCGGGAGGGTAGACCTGACTTGCTGTCGCCGAGCCATAAATGTGCGGTGGCATTGCATACATTCCCTGCTGGTAGTAAGTCACAGGGTATTGTGGGTACTGTGGGTGTTGAGCATCGCCAACTGAGTAGGCCCCTGAGACCGCTGCAGCTTGTCCACCCACGGTGGATGTTGGGGACTGTGATGTAGCACTTTGAGAATCGCTGCTCATCGTCTGTGTCGAGACCTTTTTACGGGGACGTTTTGACCCTGTGTTATATGGGTCATACCGTTTCGAACGTTTTCCTTGAAACTCGTTGTCGCCATCGCCCCTCGATTCTGCTAGAAGAGGTGCGCCATTCGACGGTGGAGCTGCCATTGTCGCCCTTGGAGAGGGCTCGGCTTCATCGGCTTCACCACGGTACCTTGGTATGCCATCGCGATCAATCTCGACTTTCGGCGGGTTCCTGAAGTGAGTTTTATCGAGATACTCGGGGGATATGTCCAGAGAGGCGAGTTCTGGGAGGGACGATGGCGTCCGGAGGCGACCTTGCTCGACATCTTCGATCTTGTAATAGGAGATTAAATGCTGCGAAACGCCGCCGATAGTGAGGGAGAACGTCTATGGAAATGATGTCAGCGCCGTGTCGGCCGTGTCCGCATGCCTGTATGCCTGTGGGAGGGTGATGCGCACCTTTTTCATCATCCCGTCGGGCTTGAATTTATAACTGTTGGTCAGACTTCCGACCAGAGTGCGTTCACGATGTTTATCAAGGCCGAGCGAGCTGGACTCGCCCTTGGGCCTGCTGAGGCTCTGGTGGTCCTTCGTATCTGAGTATTGGCCGTGTTCGTTGACGAGGAGAGAGCCGCTGGTAGGCTCATTGGTGTCTCTGTCGGAGCGACCTCTGTGACCAGCGCCGCGTTTGTCGGTCTCGCGATAGAGCAGGAAATTGCCCAGGATGCGCGAGGGGCTCCAGAAGAAGCCGTCTGTCCAGCGTTTGATGCCGCTCTCGTCCTCGTCGAATACGAAGACGGAGCCGGATGTGATCATCTTGCGTTCGGCGTCGACGAGACGCCGGGTGACGCGTGGGATGAGGCCGCGGCGGGCGGCCTCGAGGATGATAAGCGCATCGCCTGTAGTCTCTATCCACCCGCACCAGGGCGGTTCTGTCCAGCTGCTGCCACCGACTGTCGTGGTCGATCCGCCAGGGGCTGCGGAGTTCGGGGGCGGGGGCGCTTGTTGTTGTGATGGGGACGTCGTTCCCGGATGGGAGGCCATGGCGTGGGCGTGCGGGCGCTGTGCATGGCCATTGGATGTGCACGATGAGTCGGGGGAGACGCAGAGGAGCAGGGGCGGGGAAAGCGGTGACAGAGGCAGAGTAAGTTCTTGCGAATAAAGCTAAGGTTTTGAGAGGGAGCCTTACCTTACCTTAGATTTGACGATGGTTCAAGGGAGGTGCCAACAGTCACCCGCTCTCACTCAACATGTCACACCCGTGCGACCTTTGCCCGATTAGCCACCGCCCTCCCCCCTGCCGCTCTCTCCCGGCCCATCCTCCCTCTCAGCACTGTCCCAGCAAATATTCGACCGCCCTCTCTGTTCGCTGCCCGCCAACGCTGGGCGAAACGCAGCACGGATAATGAGCCGCGGGAGCGCTAAGCAAGGTTCGCCAGGGGCCCGGATTAAGTAATATTCTGTGGCTGTATTTTCATCTCCATCCACATCGTGTGAGCCTGTTCTGGGTAATCTTAAATTTAATATTCAGCCCCCCCGGCGTCCGAAACAACACACAACAGATGAACTCTCCTCTCCTTAGACTCACAGTTTCCCTCTTCGTGACGTCGCTCCTCCGTCCCCCGCTTCGCTTGTTTTTTCCGGCTAGATTATCGTTTATCATTTATACCCCCCTTCTCCATCCACGCTCCTCTCGCTTCTTATTTGCATTCATTTCGTATTTAGCATTCGTTATTGTATTTTTTATTTTAATATATGTGTCGCTTTTCGTTCGCGCGCGGCGGCATATCGAAATGGCAAACCCAATTTACCAAACGCGTCTCCGTATCCCGCCCCTGCACTCCACATATAACATGCTGCTCCCAACAGACACTTGCCCTGTTCGATATGTGCCTCAGATCACCGTCTGTCACACCCCAAGCCGGGACACCAGAGTACTTGCCATACCCTGCCGAACCGAGTCTCCAAGCACACTGATTGAGTTTTGACGTCGCATCCAACGCTGTGCTGTGCCTCCTTATCCCGACCCGGTGATGGATTCCATATTTGTACGTATGCGTCAGTCTGACACTCTCGTCTGCTCGCATCTCGCATATAGTAAGGCACACCCAATTCCGTGCGCAGTCGACTTCAGTGAGATGTTTATTTATCACGAATACGTCTTGTTAACGGCGCCTCCTTCCGGGACGTTTCATTTCACCCCCAGCTCTCTCCTTTCATTAATACCTGAGAGGGTAAATGACTGCCAGACTGGACTTCACCATAGCCGCCGAACCCGAATAAACACGCAATGTAGACAACGATGTATATGTAAGATTTCCACGACTTATTCGCTCGCGATCAACCGGGAAGAGTTCACAAAGCATAAACCTTGAAAATGAATATCCATCTATCCCATCTATCCGTCTTCACTGGCCCGAGCGTGGCGTGCAAACCATATGCATTCCTAACCCGAGACGGAAAATGATTGCCAGACTAGACTCCATCACAGCAGCCGAATCCGAACATGCTTCAACTGAACACACGAAACACAGGCAAAGATCTCCACGACTTATTCGCTCGCAATCAACCGGGAAGAGTTCACAAAGCATAGGTCTTCAGAACGAATATCCATCTATCCCATCTATCCGTCTTCCTTGGCCCGAGCGTGGTGCACAAACCATATGCATTCCTAACCCGAGAAGGAAAATGATTGCCAGGCTAGACTCCACCACAGCAGCCAAATCCGAACATGTCCCAAGTGAACAAAGGCAAAGATTTCCACGAGCTATCCGCTCACTCAAGAAGACCATGCGATCAAGCAGGAAATGTTCTTGTGCTCAACGAATATCCATCTATCCATCTATCCATCTGTCTTCCATGGCCCAAGCGTGGTGCACAAACCATATGCAGATCCTCGCCTCGAAGAATCCAGTCCTCTTTGTGCATCAGATAGATGAGAAAAGGAAGTCAACTCAGGGCGCTTGAATGCGTCATGTACATGCGTACAGCGGCGGGGAGTCAAGTCGAAAATAGGTAGGTTATCAGTAACTCGATCCCGGGGACATGGCCTGGCTGGGGTGACTGGCCTGAGTGACATCTGCTATTGAGTTGCCGTTTCCCTTTCCTTTCGTTCTTGTACCCTAATCGTATTCGAATCCGGCTTCATCTGTCGCACGCCCTGCCGCGCAAGGTTACCGCCATGAGAGCGGCCCAGCCAAATGCTTTCTCCTTCACGAAGGAGGGAATCCAGTCGAGTGCGGTCTAGAGTCTAGGTGGAGTACAAAGTCTTCTTTCTCTTCGCTCTACCCGTTATGCCGAAGATTCAGCATGGCATATAGCAACTTGTAGACGTATGAAGAAGCAAGGGTGGGTCCTTGGGCCTTAGCGGCAGCGGCACAGGCTTCCGAATACGTTCGTTCGACGTGTGTCCAATATCGGGATCGGGATATTCCTTTCGGCAAGTCAACCACAGCACAGCGTTGTCCAACATGAAACACCGACATTCCTGCCTAGGGTTTAAAGTCTAGAGAGCTGCCGCCTACAAATCCCGCCTGTTATTTCAGGACAAGACAAGAAAGACTGTCGAAAGAAGGAAAACGGCACATACATTCACGCATACAGTCTCGGTGGCTAATGAACGCACATATACAGTGCATACTCAAAAAGCGCGGATAGTCGGCGACAGAAACGAAGGAAGTAAAGGAAGCCTCACCGCAGCTCTACATACCATACATATAAGTACATACTAACATAGAAGTAGCGGCTCACGTCGCTACTGCACAAAGACGGACAAGACAAGCGAAGAAAGGAAAGGAAGTTCGCTTGATCATGCACGTGACTGACGTCAAAGTTGACGCGAGCCGCGTGGGGTTGCCTTATTTGGCTTGGCTGGGGGTTGTTTAGTAGAAGAGCTTCTTGCCTTGATCTCGCCCGATTGAAGAGCCCGTCCATTCCTTACAGAATCATCATTGTTCAGCATCATGATCAGCCGTCAAGATGTCCGTTCTCGGATATCTCTGGTCTTTCAATACGGATGACGGATCAGATATCCGTCCTGTTGGCCCTCCTTAAACCTTGCATAGAATGAAGATTGGAGAATTGGGTGATGAAGAATGGAGGATGAAGGAGATGCACGAGACCAATCAAGACAAACGGATATCAAACTCCTACATTGGTAAGTATACATACAAACGCTGCTCTGTCGACTTCGAGGAGGAAAAACAATGACACGGCGCCAAATATCAATACAACTATTATTGCGACGCGAAGACGAAGCGAAGAAGACGGAAGGCGGAGGGGACCCAAGGCTTCGGGCGACTCTTGCTGTTACAAAGTCTAAAGTTTACTGGAGATTTCGACGTGGCGCTTTCGGCAAAGACCATTGAGACCATTAACACTCCCACCCGCGGAGTTACTCTGGAGTTCTGGGCTTTAAATTAGCCAGACCAAGAGGATAAGAACCCCGTTCTTGGAAAGTGTGTCTTGTGTGCGTTGTTTAATTTGTTTTATTAATGTAGTAGACCTGATTTTCTTTGATAGATTTGTTGTAATAAAGATATTATCATTGAGGGACAAGAATGTGCACCTTGATGGGAAACACAAACTAATTAAGATTGTCATCAGTCTTCTCAGACACAAAAACCGTGCGAACCGTTGGTTTTTTTCTCTGCTTTTATTAAAGTCATCTTCATAATTTATTGGTATTACCTGCTACTCCCGAAAGACCAGGAGATTAAGAAATTAGAAGGTAGAGAGACATCTGATGTTATCACCGCTCCTTGACAAAAGTCTCAGGCTATTTGTCAATAGAAGCTCACCTTTAAGTCGCAACCACCAGTGAAATAATTATAACATTCCAAAAGGGTTGCCAATGTCTATTCTCTTTATCTAAACCCCATGGAGTGACTACCGATTACCGACGAGGATCAGAGACCATGAGAAAGTGTTCGTGATCATTGCGACCACCATCCCACTGTCCCACATTGTGCGATTGAGTGCAAAAATGGGTTTGTATTCTCTTCTTCTTGCTCACGCCCAGCAATATATCAAAACAGGTTACGGAATAATACCCTTGTCATGACGCCAAAGAAATTCCCTCTCGTCGCCTTTCATGAGTTCTCCCTGTGACTGTCGTTCTTCGATGCGATTTAATAATTGAAATGCCGAAAGCTTTTTTTGATAAGCAGCAAATTTCGGGTAATCACGTGCCTTGAAGTAACGTGACCAAGAAATCAAGAATTTTTAACCTTGATTTTATTCCGTTCATTTCTACCTACGTACGATAATTATCATGCGTCCTCCGTCTCCTTCGCTCCCAGAGCGAGACTTCACTCTAGAAGCACTCAAGCAGTCTTTACGTGTTGACGGCCGCGGTCCTTTAGATATGCGGGCAGTTGTGCTTAGTTTTGGACCCGAACTAGGATGGGTTGAGTGTTCATTGGGAAAGACGCGGTATGCCTTCCAACTTCGCCTATGCTTCAATGGTCTAAATACTGATGATTTACTTCGATTGTTTGTTGTAGAGTTCTAGCACATGTTGATGCGAAGATGGTAAAGCCACCTGAAGAGCGGCCGCTTGAAGGTATAATCACTATCCATTCGGAAATATCACCCATGGCGTCAAGTGATTTTGAACCAGGACGGTAGGTGCGTGTGTTTCCTCTATCATACGTATACATTCTAACGATGTGCTACGATGATGCGTTCGCGCATAAATCAGACCAAGTGAAGAGGAAGTTCTGATCACGCGTATGTTGGAAAAGGTTTTACGAAGAAGCGATGCAGTGGATAAAGAGTCACTATGCGTCTTAGCTGGCCAACGTGTAAGTTCATTTCATTCCTTTATTAGTAGTGCTAGTCTGATAACTCATGACGTATTTCTTGTAGGTATGGCATCTGCGACTAACGATACATTTCCTTGCTGACGCTGGCAATATGCTTGATTGTGCTTGTTTGGCTGGCATGGTCGCGCTTAAGCATTTCCGAAGACCCGAAGTGGAAGTAATTGGAGATGAAGTTACACTTGTGCGTCTACCCATCATCCTCCAATTTATGCATGGTCCGCGTCTAACTGGAGGATAGCATTCACCAGAAGAACGCGCACCTGTACCTCTGTCCTTACACCACACACCTTTCTGTCTAACATTCGCATATTTCGATGAGCCAGATACACCGTCGATTTTAGATCCCGCACGACTCGAACAAACACTTGCAACCGGAACTCTTTCCCTCGCATTAAATGCCCAACGCGAACTTTGCGTCGTACAAAAGGCTGGTGGTGTCCCGCTCGCACAAGAAGAGATTTTACGAATGATTGATGTAGGGATCACGAAAGTGAAGGAGCTGGATGCTTTTGTTGACAAGAGATTGAAGGAAGATTGGGCTGGGAGAATAGTTGAAGTGAGATAGTATAGTGAGTTGTCCTGTCCTTTTTTGTCTCACGTCCTGAGCTGATTGACATGTTCATCAAGAACGCGGTGATCAAAAAATGTACTTATAGTCAAAATACCGAGCATGCTTCCGCAAAACCCTTCTGTCTATACATCTCTTTGCAGTTTCTGAAACCACTTCTTGCTCCCGCCATCACATTGGGCGCTTCCTGCAATCTGTCTTTCGACGTTCAAGAGGCCTTCTCATTACGTAATCCCGACCGATATTTAAAAATGTACGATACCCGACACAGAAAATCGCAAAGTTGTTAACCCTCCTTGATGCACGTCAAAGTTACTGTTACGCACCGAAGCCTCGTTGGAACAATTCTCGATCACCCATAAAAGAACATTGCTCTGATAAGCCGCCACCCCCAACTTTCCGTCCTTTCTCAGTCACGATTGCAGCGCGAAAATGGACCCGACTGGCCTGTATTCGTATAGGTTTCGAGGTACGCGCGAATGCGGTGGCTTGAAATTGTCGGCTGTGGCGGTACTGATGAGGCGTTGTATGCTAGGAACCTATTTCATATACCCGTGCTATCATGATAGCTATCCTAGTGGACTCGGGGTCACGCTGGTTCAGAATATACCTAGCGACCCGGATGACTTTGAGGGTGCGTTATGTCCTCTTTCCTTAAGAGGACCTTCCCTTCCTTATCATGCGTTTGCGGACACGTTTTAGAATGGTTGAAGAGCGCAAAAGATCACTACGCGTGTGCATACAATACACTTCAACGCTCAAATCCGTCAAACACATTAGGGTACTACAGAAGACCCTCGTCTGAACCACCTATGAAAGACGCTTTCAACAAGTGGATCTATACTATTGACCTAGACAGGATGGTGTTCTCCGTGGATAATGCCGCGCATTTCAAACTCGATTGTATTCCTCGGGGAGAGGACGATGAAGATTGGATTGAGTTTCTTGATATAGATGGACTGGGTTGGCGATGTCTCAAACCGTCGACGCCACGGTGTGCGGTCGCGGATTTATCACCTGAAGATGGCCTGGACACGATCTCTAAGGAAGCTAAGGGTTATCATGTGCTCAATGCGAAGTTACTTAACTCGGAGGAGTTTGGTCCAGAACGACATCAGAGTGGGAGTGAAGAGCGAACAATGGGTGACATCGCTTCGGAAGCGATGGTGCTAGCACTTGTACGTGCGTTGACTGGGCAGTATTATTCAAGACTCTGGGATGCGTGTCAATTTGAGCCGACGGATTGGCGATTTCAGTATCCGGCGTCTTGTCTCCTGCGCATATTGGCACCGGGTTTCCTACAGGTTCGGCTCGCTGAAGAGGTGCAAGATACCGTCAAAGACGAATTGCTCCACTTGCATTCTCGCGATGCAAAAGAAAATTATAGAGAAGAAAAGGTCTCGAAGCATGGTGTATTTTATCGGTTTAGGAATCGTCTAATCCATCTTTCTACTCGATTGGATTCGGAGAAGCACTTCCAAGCAAGCATCGCACGTCTCGTGTCGTATGTTAGGGAGAAAGGAATGGGAAATTGTACTGCAATTATTTGGTCAATTCGCCATGCCGTTATTGTTCGTTATCAGAGTGGACAGGTAGAACACAGCCCTGTGTTACCTTCCCTTGTAGCGTATGGCGTTGATGAAAAGGAGTTTGCAACGAGTGTTCGTGTTTTGTCGAACCATCTGCAGGCTGTGCATGCGGGGTATGACGAGGACTCGCGGACTCCGGCGATTGCGAATGAGAACTCTGTTTGCGACTCGAACGCAATCTCTCGACCAGATATATCTGAACGAGACAACACCGAAAACAACAGTGTATCTCTCCCAACGGATATCATCCTAGAAATAATGAAATATGTCGACTTCGAGACATATAGCAACGTATTCAGTCGTCTAACAAGGGCGACGCGGGTTGCGTACACACGGAAACCACGAATCGGGCCATACGCTGTATACAGCGTATTTCCTCCTTCCATTTCCGTATCGCAAATACAAGAGGCTTCGGAATCATCACATCGACAAAAGCGATATAGCAGCGAAGATGGATGTTCGCTCCTAGCACGAACGTACGAATGCAATAGTAAATATGTACATGCCGAGCCTTCAAAACCTTTCCGTCTTGACCTCGTTTACCATGGGCAAACGCGCTATCCTGATGACGACGAGGAGCTATCTACTTCTATGTCTTCTTTCTTCTTGTTTTCATCCGGGACAAGAGAGTTGATGTGCAGTAGCAGCAGTTTCCGTAGTATTAGCGTGGTACGCCGTGTTTGTGTCCAGTGGCCAGCGGATTCGAGTTCAGACCGGGACCGTGGTGATATTGGCGGTGAAAAGCCGGAAAAGAAAGAGAGTGGAGAGTTGAAGATAGGGTGGTTTGACGTTCGTCGGAGTGGTCTTATCCTCCGGATTTCATCCGTTTCATTGATGTGAAGGAATGAAGTTGGAAATTGGAATGCCATGGTTTGCAAAATAACTTTCCATTGTCCAATCTTGCATTTTCTTTCGAATCGATATTCCTTCCTTCAATATAATCCAAAATTATCAGTCGAGCAAAACAGTTTTCAATTTCCATATCATATCAAACCGCATCATTAACTATTCGTTCTTCTCTATATTTCTTGGTATAAAGTTCGAATTTATCCTACTTGTTTTCTTGTTTTAGAAAATGATTGCTTTGTATGCATGCATGCAATCAGGGCCACACAGCGTCTGCCCACTCTCGAGTTCGGATCCATGTCGAACACCGTTGCACAACGTAACATATTTTATAAAAACTATACAAATAAATTATCCAGGCAGCAAAGAAAACGATAGCCAGTAAGGAATAACACGGCATAGTAAGCAGTTTGACCACAGAGGGAACCAAATACAAGACGACAATGTATAAATAACTTTTCTGAATAGTGCCTATCCTAGCTCAAGAGGTGACCGAGACTCATTAAGCACTGATCGATTCTTCTTCGTTTGAGCCTGCAGTCGCTGGTGCACCTGAAACGGTCAGCCCGGTCTATAATAGAAACCAATAGCAAACACACCTCTGTCGAATTCAAAGTTACTGACAGTCCTCGACCTGTAATCGGTTCCCTCGTTCACCCCTCTCTCGCCCGCCTCCTTTAGATTGATCAACAAGTGGCTCCCAAGTACGCACAGAAGTGTTGGACTGCTGGCTGCATTGATAAGTGCTGAGGCGAGAGGGACGATATCGAACATTCGACTCTCAACTATCTTTAATACACAGCAAAATATTGCACTGTAGTAACTTGAGCCAAATAATTATACACAATTTGATTAACTTACAAGCCATAGTAAAGAAGTTGATCTTCAATGAGGACTCTGACAAGGTGAAAACCTTTGAAGCTGGACAACATTTTCCAATACTATGTAGCCTTGTAGAGGGCCATACACAGTAAAACTGTGTCATATATCAGAGGAGCAGTCCTGAAATACATTAGAGAGAGTACAACATTGTATCAGGAAAAAGTCACATTTCTTATAATGTATTGTAGACTTTGTAAAGTAACATAAGTATTGTAGATACATTGTAAAGTAATTGTAAGGCTTGTATAAGACATATTAATGTATATAAATGTTAGAGGAGATGTGTTCTCTAGGTTGATAGTACTCTCAAACTGTGAATGTAGACCTGCAGCCCTTAATCCAACTATATTCCCAAAGCTACCAGCTAGGATTTATGCTAAGAGAATGAGTAGGAATACAAGAAGAGTCAAAAAACTAAGGAACTACTGTATCTACAGGCTGCTTTTTATAATAACTAAATAACAAGAGTAAAGTGAGGAATGAAACTTGGGAATAAGATCAAAGAAATAATAAGGACAATTATTACAAAGCCAACAGGCACATCAGAGGCCAGGAAGAATTAACAGAGCATTGTGCATTAGAGAATATAGGCTAAGGGGCTATTGTACAAAAGAGGCATGAGTTACTATATTGGGCAAGAAATGGATTAGCTGTGTTATGATTGTATACACTACCTTGTGTCTCTGTAGCTCTCTCCTGTGCTCAATACTAAGACAATCTTCATGAAACTTTGTAGAATAATAGATAAGATGTTAAGGATTATGAAAATCCAGTAGTAATGTTGGTTTTTTACAAAATGGACAAAGATATGAAGAAAATGAAATATTTCCAATCCTACAGTCCTAACATCACCTCCCTCCTTAGATTGTACATCCTAGACAACTGAATCTAGGGGCTATTTTACTTAAGCAAAGTGTCAAAGTCTCTAAAGGTTCCCTTTAGAATGTTTAGTCACCTTAGAGTACTAGGATAAGCTTTGTAGAAATCCCTAACAGTATCCTAAGTATAAGTAAGGTCATTTTCAGGCTACCAAGTTGCTTCCTAGTATTCTACCCATTTAACAAGGAACTGAAGCTTTCCCTTGTAGAGTTGAGAGTCAAGGATAGTCTTGACTTTGTATTTAATCTCATTATCTACAAGTTCAGGTAGAGAAGAAGGAGGAGCCTTCTGAATATTAAAGACTTGAGGAACATATAGTTTGAGCAGAATCTTATTAAAAACTAGGTGAATCAACTATCCCTGAGGTAGTTTGAGCCTATATGTACTAGCTCTAACCTTTGAGTCAATCTTAAAAGGACTAAACCACTTGTTATTAAACTTCTCAGTAGGTCTAGTAGTTTTTATGTTCCTTAAGTCTAAACACACTATATCTTCTAGCTTGTACTGTATAGAGGGGCCTGAATAATAATTATAGTACTTCTTTATAGCTTTAGTAGCTTGGTCTAGGCTTTTCTTTACAAGTTCCTAAACATCTTTAATATACTTAGCTTATTGTTTACTAAATATGTACTAGTCTCAGTCAAAACTGATTCAAAGCTTATAGAGTGTCTTCTAGAGTTAACATAGAACAGAGAGAACTTTGTAGTAGAGTGTTCTCAATTGTTATATACAAACTCAGTCATAGAAATCCATTCTGCCTAGTCTGACTACTTATAGTTAATATACAAGCAGAGATACTATTCTAATACACTCAGTTTGACTATTAGCTTAAGGATAATATACTATAGAGGGATTCTCTTTAATATAAAGAGCTTTATAAAGTTCTCTCATGAATTTAGTATTGAATTACAGTCCTCTATCATATATAATCTTCCTGAGTAATTTATAGAGTCTAAAGACTTGGTCCCTGTACAGTCTAGCCATTCCTTCAGCTGTAACCTTTGTAATAGTTGGAAGAGTATGTATTTACTTAGAGAAACAATCTACAATGACACAAATAGTGTTAAATCCCTTAGACTCAGGCAATTCACTAATTAAATTAACAGATATTACCTACTAAGGTCTAGCAAGTGTATTATAAGGATGTAGTGCCTTTTGTCTTGTAGTGTGTAGGGATTTTGTTCTTTAGCATTTATTATAGTCTTAAACATACTTCTTAGTGTCTGTTCTCATCTGTGACCACTAGAACTCTCTTTAGATCATTTCAAGTGTCTTTCTATACTCTAAATGTCTTACAAGCAGGGAATTGTGATATTCCTTCAGAATTATTAGTACTAGGTCTAAGAGAATATATATCTTCAAATTCCTGTGTATATAGTTATCTCTAATAAGTATACTAGCTAAGTACTCCTCTCCTTTATCTAATAATTCCTACTAAGCATTCTGGATCTTTTGTAGAGTGACTTTACTACCTATATACACTATTCCTCTTAACTAGGTTTTAACAAGTGTAGTAGGAGTGCTCTACAAACTCTCTCTTGTTAAGACATCAAGTAAGTGTCTGTTTTATATACTACATAGTAAAGTCTGATAGTCTGAGACATTCTAAGTGTAGTAACACTACATAAGGCAATTAGGGATTTCCTAATCTAGAGTACAATCTAATACTCCCCTTTAAGCATTAATTAAGAACTAAGACTGTATACCTAATAGTTTGATTAGATGCTTGATCTGTAGAATGTAGGGAGCTTTTGTAAGAATGTCTGCTAATTGGTTCTACAATTGGACATAACATACATTAATGTAATTGTTTTGAATGTAACATTACACAAAGTCTTTTTGTAAATCAAGGTGTTTAGTACAAGTGTTGTATATTATTTTGTCAGACTTTACAGTCTTTATTGTATCTTAGTTATTGTAATAAATTGTAATGAGTACTGATTCAGTCTATAGTACCTCTTCAGCAAATTGTTTGAGCCAAATGGCTTCTTGAGTAACATATGCCAGTATTTGTAACTCAGCTTTGTAAACAGATAGTAGTACCAGGTTTTACTGTTTGCTTGACCAGGATATGGTTGATTTAGCTAATTGAAAGATGTAACTGTTTATTACTTTATGTCCTTCTGTCATTCATTTGTCTGTATCACAATAGCCTTGTAGTTTTAAGGCATTTGTGCTTCCAAGTTAATGTAAGATATACTCACTTTACTAGTTCTAATCCTTAGGAATAGTAACAGAATAGAGTATAGAGGGTAAGACTTGTAGACTTGTAGAGTAAGAGGGTAGAGGAGTCCTGCTTTAGTCAAGCTACAAGTGTAGCCTAGTAGGTTGGTAGTAGAGTACTTCCAAGTACTAGGTAACTTAAGTTGATAAAACTATCTTTTGAGAGCCAAACTAGCCTCCTTATATACCTTTTGCTAGAGTGATGTTACTCTAGTGACTTTAGTAACTCTCTTCACTGTTGTTCCCATAAAGTAGAGCTGGCTAATTCTTTAGACTGTATACTACACTAGTTTGTGTCTTCTATTAATCTACTAACACTAGTTTGTGTCTTCTTATATTCTAGATTAATCTTCTAATGACTCCTTTACTATATTGTTATGTCTTCTATACTTCCTCTCATGCTTCTAATGACTCCTTATGAGTCCTCCTAACTAGTTATACTGTGTAAGCTGTGTAATACTTTTCCTATGAAGTAGAGCTCTCTATTGTTCCTATGACTCTGTCTGACTCAACCTGTACTTTCTGTACACTAGTTTGTAATACACTTTCTCATAAGGTAGAGTATTATGACTTCTAATGACTCCTTATGACTCTTGTAATATAAAAGGCTGTGCTTCTGTACTGCTTCTAGAACTTACAACCAAAGTTCTAGACTGTCTTGTATACACTCTAGGACTAACAGCTAATATTCTAGATCTTTCCCTAAGTCTTCTTTAATAGACTTAGTTTAGGAGACAGTTATCCTTATTAACTTCTAACCTTATCTTTATGCTTCTGTATTCAATCATAGAACTTACAACCAAAGTTCTAGATTGCCTCATGTATTCCTCATGTTGTCCTTATGTAGTCCTCATGTTTATGACTTCATTACTTTCCCATCTATATGGGCAAAGTGTATAAAAGAGACTACTTTCCTATAGTCTCTCCTTAGAGCTCTCAGTTCCCTTTCCTTCACTAGTACTAGTCCTCCTCAAGTATAGAGCTTCAGAGTATTGGCTCTGACTCTTTACTAGCTTTAATGGTCCTTTGTCTTTGTACAAAGCATTCCTAGCTAGCTATATAGTTTTTCCCCAAGTAAGTATAATATTTTCCTTTTATCTCTTCAGGTTTTCTCCTAGTCTTTTCCTTTATACTTCTTACTCTGGACACTATACTCTTTCTAGATCCCCTCTCTATACAAGCATTCTAAATGACTTGTCTTTGGTTGAGGTTATCAAGTAATACTGTACTAGAGTATGTGTTTAACCTTAGAGAGATAAAGACCTTGTCCTTAAGTTTTGTTACCTTTTCCTAACTGACTTAGTACCTACTCCTTTCTGTCCCCTCTCTCTACTAATAGATTGATCTCTCATTAGTAATGATTAGAGGTTAATAATACTGAGCTAGAGTTCTTACTAAGTAGGACAACAAAGGTAGCCTAGTTGATCTAGCTAATCTTTAGACTTGTGACTAATAGGGTTTTGTATATAAACTACTTAGTCCCAAGTCTTGAGTTAAGCTTTTCCAAACTTAGTTACTGTATTTTACAATTCCTAACATCCAGTCCCTCCTAAGTAATACTTTCTTGAACAGTATTACTACTATTGTAAAATACTTGCTTTATAATTAATAGAGCTAGGATTTAATTTTAGGTGGGATTTGTGTCCTTCCCCCTCTTCCTGTTTCCTTTGTTTTGTATGTTCTGTACTAGTATCTTTTTCTTTAGATACTTTTCCTGTTTATAGTCTGCCTCTTTGTATTCTGTATTAAAGTGAATATAAATGCCTTTTCCTTTCATTTTGGCTAATTTT